CTTCCCCCATCCTCTGCAACTCTCTACTCCAATTTATCAGACTGTCGCCTACTCTGCTCAGTTTTAGGCGATCTCTGAAAACCTATCTCTTCAGGGAAGCCTATCCTGCCCTCAGCTAATAATGGAATCTTCTACTCCTCCTACCAGTTCATTCCCTAGAGTTACTACCTTTTGTACCACTAGCCTCTCCCTCTTAGATTGTAAGTTCCGAGGAGCAGGGCCCTCCTAGTCCTCTTGTATTGAACTGTATTGTTGCTGTATTGTCTCCTGTTATATTGTAAAACGCTGAGCAAACTTGGGTCTATATAAATCCTGTATAATAATAATACCTCAGCTGGAACTAAAGATTGAGAATGTTTGGCATGCAAGGCGTTAGCAATCATCCACTTTTTTTGTCACCATACTCCTAAAATGAGCGACAAGCCTTCAGCAGGACATGCTTAGCCATGTACAGGGAATTCTCCCAAATTACCTCCCATAGTTTGAGCATTTCTGTTTTAACGGTAGAGTCTGGATTGTTTGTTGTCACTTTGCCAGTAGGTCCGATAGGGCTTTAGTCCAGCTTCAAGATCCCTTGAATATAACGTTCATGTGCGGACCAAACAGAGGGTTTTGAACAGAACCTGTGTTGGTGGCAAATTATAATGTTCTCTCTCTCAGACCATCAGCAGCAATGTCAGGGTCCTTAAGTAGTGCCTCATTCAGCCTTCATATAGGTGTCCCTTGTGGAAGATCCAGGAAGGGTAAGTTCTAGGAAAATCAGAGCATGATCCATAAGTGTTATTATGGGACGCTAGAGGATTTGGGAATGTTTAGGCAAAAAAAAGTTGATTCTAGAATAAGATCCATGGGTAGAAGAGCAGAAGGTGTAATCCCTCTCTTGAGGGTGAGATATTTTCCAGATGTCTACTAATTGGCGAGAATGTAAGATGTCTTTCAAGCAAAGAAGAATCACTGTAGATAAAAAGAGCCCATGGAGGAGTTACTATATTGGTCCAAGGTGAGGTTGAAGTCTCCACCCAGAGTTCCTTCAAGAAAAGAATTAAGAGTGGATAAAACATTCTCAAGGGCCTGTAGCTGGTTATAATTGGGTAGATAAATGTTCTCAGGAGTGAACGTATAGGAGTTGATCGTCCCTTTGAGGAAGAGGAACATTCCCTCTTGGCACTCATCGAGGGATTGCCAGGGAAGGGACTTGGATTAGGATACTAAGCTGCTTAGATTTAGGAGGATGGAAAGAAAGTTTGGGAACCTTGTCTACCCGAAAGTGAGTCTCTTGAAGAAGGCAGTTTGCACCCTATGTCTCCAGAGCTCGGCCAGACAACTTGAGCACTTCTCTGGGGAGTTCAGTTCCTTAACATTCCATGAAATTACCTTGACAGCCATTCTATCAATAATGGATGGTTATGTCCCAGTACTCCCATGTGAAGTGGGGAGGGAAGGGATAGGAGAAAGAGGAAAAGAAAGGGTAAAAAAGGGAAGTGTCAAAGGAAAGGGAAAGCCCACTAAAAGTTTGCTATCTGCAGAGGAGAACTGCTGCCACCAGGGTAGAGTTGGCCTAATGTGGGTAGTGGTAGGGCACAGCCGAGCAAAAAGCTCCGGCAGACTGAATCCACCTTAGCATATACAATTCTCAGTTTACCGAGTTAAACTAAACAGAACAATTGTAAGGGGCATTAGAAGAAAACAGTGTCTAACAGTGTGAAACGGCTACCTCTTGAATGGAGAGCGAGCAAATGCGTGTCCCCAGTGGGATGCGTTGCCGTCGACGAGACAGGGTGAGCTAGTAGTCACAAAAGCCCCGAGACTCCCTCTCCATGTCAGTGAATAAGGCCATATCCATGGCAGTCCCCCCAAGGAGATGCCAAAGACCCAAAGGAGGCTGTCATGGGGTCTAAGGTAAATCAAAGGCCAAGAGGGAGGCTGAGAGGCGCTGCACAAGCCACAAACAGGACAGGCCCATATAGGTGACATAACCCGTATCCCAGGGAGCACAACCCCCGACGTCCTGAAGGATGCAGGGCAGCTCCTCAAGGGGCCATCCCAACCAAAGTCCAGTCCCCCAGGGATACACCACATAGCAGGGGCACCAGTCATGAGACGGCTGTGTCATCCTCCTCATCCACTTTGTTGGTAGGCTTTGAGAATGTAGGGTAATTCTGTCTCTGCAAAGCTGTAGGGGAGCCGTTGACCAGGAGCTCAAGAGGAAAATGGTCCTCACTCTGCCATGCTGAGACTGTGTTTGTTTTTCACCTTCGTTTAACAAACCATTTAATACTGGCAGGGGTTACCATGATATCTAGAGATTGGTAAACCACAACATGTTTTCCTTTTGCTTTTGGTTTTAGCTTTGTTTTTTAAAACTTGGGTCTTTGGTATTCCAATAATGGAAATATCTGACACTAATTGCCCTGTAGTATACATGAAGCCTACCGTATTTTCCGGCTATAAGACGACTTATAAGACTAACTTTTCCTGTTTAAAATATCAGGCTTTGGGCTATACTCGTAAAACTACCCCCCTCTACCAAAATCACGGCAAGCGATGTAAGTATTTTCTGTGCACACTGCAACAAAGCCTGCTTGGATTGGGTTTGGTCAAAGTCTCCAAGAAAATGCCCACAGTTTTAATTATAATAATGTTAATTACCGTATTTCCTGCAAGGTACTGCCTAGCATCTGCACATGTCTTCGCAGCAGTAGACGATCGTTTGTCACCATTTCCTCACAGAACTGCATGAGACGTCATGCAGCCGTTCACTCGATTGAGCTTGACTGAAACTGTGATATGCAGAGAAGGCAAGAAGACATATATTGACTTTAAGCACAATTTCAGTCAAGCTCATCGAGCACTTTATGCAGTTCTGCGAGGAATGGTGATCAGCGATTTTACTGCTGCCGTAAGAAGACATGCGCAGAAGCGTCAGCTCGGAACAACAGGTAAGGTTTCAGCACAACACCCGGCGTATAAGACGACCCCCCCGACTTTTTTGTAGAAGATTTCCAGAAATACGCCGGAAATAAGGTAGTTGCTTTTCTAATAATAGTTTCAAATCAGTCACGTAAAACACTAACAAAAAAGGAAAATAGTTTGTAAGATACATTGAAACTTTTGAAAAATGTTTTTATAGCTTTTTCTCACAACAAGCTTGTTTGGTTCCACAATATTACTGAAATTAAGCACATACAGGCATATTTTTTATACATAATGACTTTAGACTACGGGAAATATTGCTGAAGCATCACTGAAAATATTTCACACAATCTTTAGCATTAAACAGCTATTGTTCTTGACCACAAATAATTGCATTTAATGTAAAAAGGTTGGTTAGCAAATCCTTTATACTCAGATTCCCATATTTAAATCTCAGAATCCTCAACATTTACAGTGGGGATCGAAAGTTTGGGCACCCCAGCTAAAAATTTGTATTAATGTGCATAAGGAAGCCAAGGAAAGATGGAAAAATCTCCAAAAGGCATCAAATTACAGATTAGACATTCTTATAATATGTCAACAAAAGTTAGATTTTATTTTTCCATCATTTACACTTTCAAAATAACAGAAAACAAAAAAATGGCGTCTGCAAAAGTTTGGGCACCCTGCAGAGTTAATATCTTGTACTGCCCCCTTTGGCAAGTATCACAGCTTGTAAACGCTTTTTGTAGCCAGCCAATAGATAGGAGATTGTGAAGGCCATGGCAAAACCTTCAGTTTACGCCTCTTGATGTAATCCCCTGTGGATTTCGAGGTGTGTTTAGGATCATTATCCATTTGTAGAAGCCATCCTCTCTTTAACTTCAGCTTTTTCACAGATGGCATCAAGTTACCATCCAAAATTTGCTGAAATTTTATTGAATCCATTTTTCCTTCTACTCGTGAGATGTTCCCTGTGCCACTGGCTACAACACAACCCCAAAGCATGATTGATCCAACCCCATGCTTAACAGTTGGACAGAGGTTCTTTTCATTAAATTCTGTGCCCCTTCTTCTCCAAACATACCTTTGCTCATTCCGGTCAAAAAGTTCAATTTTAACCTCATCGGTCCACAGAACTTGTTTCCAAAATGCATCAGGCTTGTCTATATGTTCATTTGCAAAGTTCAAACGATGATTTTTGTGGTGAGGACGTAGAAGAGGTTTTCTTCTGATGACTCTTCCATGAAGACCATATTTGTACAAGTATCTCTTTATAGTGGAATAGTGTACCACAACTCCAGTGTCTGCCAGATCTTTCTGGAGGGATCATGCAGTCAAACGTGGGTTTTGAATTGTTTTTCTCACAATCCTGCGAGCTGTTCTGTCTGATATTTTTCTTGGTCTACCAGATCTTGCTTTAACTTCCACTGTTCCTGATGACTGCCATTTCTTAATTACATTCCGAACAGAGGATATTGACATCTGAAAACGCTTTGCTATCTTCTTATAGCCTTCTCCAGCTTTGTGAGCGTCAACTATTTTCAGTTTCAGTTTTCTAGACAACTGCTTAGAAGAACCCATGGTGCTGATTGTTGGGGCAAGGTCAGATGAGTCTGGGCATTTAAAACCTTTGAGATTGACATCACCTGGTCTTCCCAGACGATGATTGAGAACAATCCATGACACTGGCAGGTCTCAGCTTTGCAAAGGGGGCAGTGCATGCTATAAATTCTGCAGGGTGCCCAAACTTTGCAGACGCCATTTTTTTTGTTTTCTGTTATTTTGAAAGTGTAAATGATGGAAATAAAATCTAACTTTTGTTGACATATTATAAGAATGTCTAATCTGTAATTTGATGCCTTTTGGAGATTTTTCCATCTTTCCTTGGCTTCTTTATGCACATTAATACAAATTTTTAGCTGGGGTGCCCAAACTTTCAATCCCCACTGTATGTGTGTACTCTTGACAATTTTAATGCATTGTACCATATATAGATAGCTTTGATTTTGCTATGTTGTAGTACTTGCTGCGGTCTGCTGCTTTGATTGCTGTTCCATCTCACATTAAGATGCTTTGTTTTTCAGGAAGAAAAGACGTTTACAAAGCTGTCAATTGACAAGGTTCAGAACAGCTATCTGCACTCTTTGCAAGAGGTTGGAGATCTCATGAGGAAAAAACTCGAAACCATTAAAAAACTCAAGCTCTAGAATGTGAATAGAAACTGTATAACTATAGATACTTTGATGGGCTCCTGGCAGACATCTTAATCCAGAACTTCCCAAGAGGATGCATGAATGACTTAAAAACTGTTTTTTTTTTTTTTTTCTCCTTTGTTTTTTAAAGGTGTTGAGAATGGAATTTATACAGCTGATTTAAATTATTGTACATAAACTAAAAGCAGGAGCTGCCGCCTGCAATAGACCACTTTTTATACATGTCCGTGAACTTGCAGCAATGAGGTTTTCATGCCTTTCTTGATCTTCATGCAACCCTGGAAACTCTGTAATTGCAGCAATAGAAATTGGCTTAAAACCAGCAGCTTTTCTTTTTCCTTGCCATATAGGTGAATTTTACTTGTTTTTGTTTTGGCTCGTTAGGAAATCCTAATAATCTTTTATTCCACGCCTTATTTTTCCTCTGATCTATTAGCTTTGCAGTTTTTTCTCTATGGTCTCCCCTCTCCTCCTAGCAGTTGTTTTAATTTATAGGAACTGAAATATTGAAGCTAACACAGAATTGGATGGTTGGTTTCTAAGCTGATGTCCGGATCATTGATGTGGTGGATGAAGTCCAATATAATGACGGCTGACATTGAAAGTGAGACTTGCAGTGCTGTGGTTGTACTGTCAGATCGCTGGTAGCGAGAGACCTGTTTAGCCAACCATAGTTGACAGCTATCCATTGCAATTTGCACTGCTTGTTTACACTAGTGCAGCTGTGTATACCATATTATAAAGAAAAGAAAAGCCTAATGCTGCTTGGTTACACTACCAGTCTAAACAAGAGACTAGTTTTTGAACTTGACCGTTTTTAAGTTACCGAGATGTTACTTTGCTTTCTACTGCAGAAGGAATATTCCGAAGCAACTAGTTCCATTTTGCTAAAAAAAAAAAAAAAAAAAAATATAAACATTTACACCATTTTGTATGCTTATTTATGCAGCCCTGTCACCGAGTACTGGTGTATATTTATATAAATATAGATGTATGTATATTTGTATAGTATATTATGATGTACATACATATATGCATACAGTCAGATACACATGTAATTAAATGGCTAACCTTGGCCCTATGTGCAGAAGAACAAGCCAGCATGGAAGGAAATCCGTTCACTTGGCTTGCCAGGTGAATGTGATATTTTCACAAATCTACTTGCTCTGACATTTTCAAAGCTAAATATGAGATTTCTGAGACCCTGACAGTCAGGGCATTGTCATATATTACAGACACGTTTTGTTAGTGATGCTAGGTGGTTGATGAGAGTATTTTTAAAATAAATCCCTACATAATAAGCAATGCGTATGTTTTCCTTTTTGTGGTCCTCAAATAATAGGTGCGTTGCATTTCAGTTCAGCTGGGAGACTGGTTTGTTTAGTCTTTGGAAGATGCATTTACAAATAAATACACAGAACCAGTCATTTCCTATACTTACGTATACTTATACTTCTTGGTAAAGCACAACTACAGGCAAGCATGCACCTAAATACGCAACTGAAATGTGTATTTACTGCGTTACTGGCTGAAAGATTATTGCAATTCTGTTCAGCTTGAGATTTGCACACTTTGCTACACTGCACAGCAAGACAGGTGACAACGTATTGCCTGATTCAGCAATGCAGCTTCTGCCTTCAGCTGGGTTACTTTCCAAAACGAAGAAAAAAAAAAACTATTTTGGCTGGACTTAAACACCAGTGTGGCTACTGGCAAGGTTGGAAAACATTTATTTTTATTTATTACGGGTACTTGTATAGCGCCGTCAATTTACGCAGCGCTTTACATATGTATTGTAAATTCACATCACTCCCTAACCCAGGGGTGGGCAAACTTTTTGACTTGAGGGCCGCAATGGGTTCATATATTGGACCCGGGGGCCAGACCAAGAGTAGATGAATGATGTGTATGTGTCATCCATAGTAAGTATAGTAATATTCCCCCATAGTAAGCATAGTAATTCATCCCCCATATAGTAATTCATCCCCATATTAATTCATCCCTCATATATATCATCCACCACAGTACTATTCCCCCCCAAGTAGTAAGCCAAGTCCCCCCTGTGTCAATTCACTTACCTTTGCTCCGCGCGTTCCTCTCGCCGTGTTCCCGTGCCGTTCCGGTCTTCAGGGCGGACTGTGAGAGGAGCCTAGCTCCCTTCACGTTCCTCACGCTGCCCCGCCTACACACATTCTGACAGCCGATGTTTGCCACGCTCCGCGGGCCGGATTAAAAGGTCCACCGGGCCGTATACGGTCGGTCGCCGGGCCGTAGTTTGCCCATTGCTGCCCTAACCCTTAAGGAGTGTACATTCTAAGGTCCCTAACTTAAATTTATACATACACATACTAGGGACAATTTAGACAGGAGCCAATTCACCTACATATATGAAGTGTGGGAGGAAAACTGAGTACCTGGAGGAAACCCACGCAGGCACAGGGAGAACATGCAAACTCCAGGCAGGTGGTGCCATGGCTGGGATTCAAGCCAACAATCCTAGTACTGCCAGGTGAAAGTGCTAACCATTTAGCCACTGTGCTAAATGTCTTGTCGCTGACCAAGCTAAAATGGTTTCATGTGTTAAACCATATATAACACAAATGTACATTAAAGTATTACTAAACCCAGGACCCTGCATTCACTATATCTGGTCTCCCACAGTACACACATGGAAGTGCAATTATTTTTGTAAATATAAACTGCTAAATACCATTTCTCATCAGCAGTAAGAGCAGTCTTGTGACTTCAACTGAGCACTGGTTAATGCTTGTAGGAGTTTTCTTTCTGCTCCAGGAGGATGCAGAGCCCTTGACCTCTGTCTGGACAGTGCTGATGGGCCCTGTGATGATCACATGCACTCTCCCAAGGGAAAAAAAAAACCTCTCTAGCAATACACACTAAACTGAGCATGTGCAGAAGGGCTACGGGTTCAGTCTGTCTTATCAGCGTGGACATTTCAACAAGAGGAGGGGCAGAGAGATCAAACAGCCTTTTCACACAATGCAGAGGATTAAATCTTAGGTTCCACAGTGAGTATAACCAGCATGCTTTATTTCTTATACAGACTGATTTTGCTGTTGTGGGTTTAGCAACACTTTAACTACATTTCTTTTTTCTGGGCTTGCTAAGGGAAGACACTACATAAGCTGTTCATGTCCTACTATAACTCCTACTATAACTCCAAAACCCCATTGTGTATAAAATGTATGTAAAACAAAAAAATCTAAATAATGTGACTTCATATTTTTTTTATCAGCTAGGTGGTGACCTTTTGCTTTACTGAAGGTCTTTTGTGATTAGAGAAGCACACTAGCTATTTTGCCTAAAGCATGCATGGTTTCCGACTGCTGAAGAGTGGATGTGATAAACATGAAAAACATTGATATTGGTGCTGCTAATATAATTAACAATATGTTTATTTTATTACTTACAGATATCAGACAGACCATGTGTGTTTAGTGTCTCATAGTTAGTTTCCCTCTTTCGATTTTGTATGCTCTCCAAAGTGAAAAGGCAGAAAAAGCAAGAGGATGTGGGAGAGTCTTTATGGTATATAATGTAAGCCGTTCATTAGATATTGCAGAAGTGAAAAAAATTACATTGGAAACACCCAAGTAAAGCCACATCTTCCTCAAAAACATTTTTCTGCCGCCTTTTCCTTTTGCAAAGGACTAGATCCACAAATTTTATGTCTTAACCTGGCTACTGCCATTCTAGGGGATGAATCTCCTCTCCTACAGATCCTCTGGATGAGGAACTGGAGTCTCTCTTCAGGTCCTATATTTGGAAAACATTTGCTCTGTCAAATTTCTTGCACTGGAGAAGGACCCCATTGTAATACAGGACTCTGCTTGAGATAGAGCCAAGAGCTACAATCAGCTACACACAAGTCGCCTACCTGATGAAAGCAGACACTTTTCTGCAACTAAGAAAACAAATCCTAGGCCAATGAATGGCTTTAATACAGCCATGACTATCCAGGGCTCAAAAACACCTGGCTACTTCTCCAGCTCCACTGTCTCTACCTGAGTTGGATACCGATATACCCACCTTAAAGGAGGAAGATGGAAGTGGTGGTGTTAGAGAAGTCCATGGAAGATTTTTCACCCCTAGGCACCTATGCACCTGATGTTGCAGCTTTATGCGACATCCCTAAATCTCACCTTGCCTGTTTGGGTACAAAGACAACAGCTAAATCTATAAAGACATTTCCCATTCATGAACAAATAGAATAAGCAATTTATGATGATTGGGTAAACCTAGAAAAGATTTCCACCTCTCCGAAAATCATTGGCAAGCTCTATCCAGTGGAAAAAGTTACCAAATGGTAGTAGACCCTGCCACCTCAGTTTTAGATAAACCTCTCACTGTGCCAATTGGAGATGTTCGTTCATTTAAAGATTCTGCAAATAGGAAGTTTGAGATGCTCTTAAACCGCTTCCTGTCCGCCCTATAGCAGAAATACTGCTACAGGGCAGCACGGGTGCGCAAAATCACGTGTGTGTATATATGTATGTATATGTGTGTGTGTGTGTGTGTGTGTGTGTGTGTGTATATATATGTATGTGTATATATATATATATATATATATATATATATATATATATATACAGTCAGGTCCATAAATATTGGGACATCAACGCAATTCTAACATTTTTGGCTCTATACACCACCACAATGGATTTGAAATGAAACGAGCAAGATGTGCTTTAACTGCAGACTGTCAGCTTTAATTTGAGGGTATTTACATCCAAATCAGGTGAACGGTGTAGGAATTACAACAGTTTGCATATGTGCCTCCCACTTGTTAAGGGACCAAAAGTAATGGGACAGAATAATAATCATAAATCAAACTTTCACTTTTTAATACTTGGTTGCAAATCCTTTGCAGTCAATTACAGCCTGAAGTCTGGAACGCATAGACATCACCAGATGCTGGGTTTCGTCCCTGGTGATGCTCTGCCAGGCCTCTACTGCAACTGTCTTCAGTTCCT